GGAGGGACAGCACAGGAAAGGAAGGCCCTCTATGAGGTGGATTGAGTCAATGACTGGGATAATTGGGATGGGAGTGTCAGAGACAGTGGGATTGGCACAGGACAGAGCGGAGTTTAGGGCTGTTGTATATAGGGTCGCAATGAGTCGCAAGTGACTCGACGGCACATAACAACAACAACAATATTCTATGAAGAAGAATGTGACATAAGCATCAGAGGAAGACTCATTAATAATCAGCCTTATGCAGATGACACAACCATACCTGCTGAAATTGGGGAGGACTTGAAACGTTGCTGCAAAAGATCAAAGTCTACAGCCTTCAATATGATTTACATGCCAACATCAAGAAAACAAAAAGCCTTACCACTGGGCCAGTAGGTATCAGGATAGATTGAGAAGAGATAGAAATTGCCAATTATTTCATTTTGCTTGGATCAACAATCAACACCCTTGGCACAGGCAGTCAAAAAAATCAAGATGTATTGCACAGGGCAAGTGTCATCAGGGATCTCTGAAGAGCAATGCTGTCAGTTTAAAGACTAAGATGCCCCTGATCCAAACCATAATCTTTTCAATTGCTTACAATGCACCTGGAAGTTGGACATAACTAGGGAGGATTGAAAAGAATTGATGCCTCTGAGTTGTGGTGTTAGAGAAGAGTACTGACTACTCTATGGAATGTCAAAAGGACAAACAAGTATGTCTTGGAGAAGGTGCAGCCAGGTTGCTCCTTGGAGGTGATGATACTGAAACCTGTTCTCACATAATTTGGGTGTGTTGTCAGGAAGGGCTCTTTTTTGAAAAAGATATTATGTTTGGAAAGGTGGAGAGTCAGAGAAAGAGAAGAAGACCCTCAACAAGAATGACTGACATAGTGACTGTAACAAAGGGTCTGCACATGGTGGAGATTGTAAAGATGATGCTGGATAAGGAAGGCTCAGATCTGTTGTTTACAGGGTGGCCCGGATAGCATGGAGCAACTCTCTGTCCACCAGGAGGTGCAGTACCCACTCTCTGGTTCTCCACACTTTTTCTCCAACACCCAGGAAGTCCCCTTCAGAGTGGAGTGTTACCTTCTAGTTTTACTTAAGCTTTCTTTCCCTGTACTGTGAGGACTACGTATGTGAGGTGGCATTTAGGGGAGGCAAAGGTCAACACTGCTCTGTTTCAGGAAGAAAAGTACCTGGCATTTCCGAGAAAGAACTCTGAGAGCTCTGAGTTACTAGTTTTGGAATCCCAGTAGAGGATGGGAAGCACCTTCCACTTAGGTGATCCATCTGCTGACCTTAGTGCAGAAAACCCTCTGTTGGAGTTCCTATCTTGACTCCTACTTGAGTCTAGCCCATCTGAATTTTTTTTTAAAAAATCACCTCAAGAATAGGCTTGAAAAAACAACTATGAGTTATCTCACACCAGTAACAACAGCAAAATTCAAAAGAGTAGCAAACAAATGCTGGTGAGGTTGTGGAAAGATTGGAACCCTTATTCATTGTTGGTGATAGTGTAGACAGCAGTATAGCACTTTCTCAAAAAGTTGGAAATAGAAATACCAGCAATTCCGCTACTAGGAATATACCCTAAAGAAACCAGAGTTGCCACCCAAATAGATATACACACTATGTTTATTGTTGCACTGCAAAGAGATGAAAACAACCCAA